TTTCTCACTTCTGGTTATGGGTTCCGCTTGTATTGTGCATTTTCCATTTTCATTGTCCTTTTCTTCTCGTTGATATTTTCCACCTGTTTTCACCATGCTTCCTCTCTGAATGGGCTTTGCTATTCACTTTTACGCTTCATAAGTTCCCTCTGATATTGTTTTAATGTTTTCTTTTCTTTTCTGCGTGTTTATTTTTGTTTCTTTTTAAGATTTTGGACGTTTGAATTTTAAGTAATTTACATACTCAGATCTCTCTCTTTTTTAGTGGTTGTCAATGGAAGTCGATCGGTTATTTGTTATACTTTCAAAGTAATCCATTTGCTTGCTTCACTTTACATGCTTATAATTCAAACTTCCTGAAGGCTTGCAACTATAACTAGGGTTTCCTTATTGTGCAGTTTGTTATCAAGTTTACTATTCATTTTTTTGAATTTCGATAATCATTTTCTTCATCTTTTAGACTGTAGTTGAATTTTGGATACACAGCAGATTTAGATCTCTAATTCTTGCTTGTTTGTTACAAACTACCATGGTTGGGGCTAGTGAAAAAGTAAAGAGACTTGAAGGAAATAAGTTATGGTGGCAACCTACATAGTTTTCTTACAAAATGTGGTGGGGTCCTCCAGCTACAAGTGTGCAAGCTTGCCTAAATACTCGTGGATAAAAAAATAACTTCTTTTTTATTTATTTATTTTTTATATATCCATGTGTCTGGGTCAGGTTGCACGCACTAGATAGATAAAAAAGAACTTATTTCTTGTAACTGTTGGCTATTCAGATTTATGACATTTGATGTTAGGCTTATTGAACCAATACAATGATATGATGTTAGCTGTTAGCACTGTAATAATTAATTCTCTTTGTCCAATGGAGTGTCTTGAAGATATGTATGATTCTAAATCTGTGTTGGTAAGTTTCACATATTTGATTACCTGTAATTTCTTGATCACTAGATCTTTTTTCTTGACAAATGAGAGTGCTCCATCTTAGGCTTGTAGCAAAACTATAGTTAGTTTACATGTATTGTTGATAATCTCATTGTGTTTTTCTTATTTTTAATAAAGGCAACCTTATGGTTTTTTGCTCAATAATTGGGTTCTAATGAAAGACACTTGTTAAATTATGTTGTACTTGAAAGATATTTAGAAAAACGTGGTTTGAACAAAAAAGGTCAGTACCATCTTATGGCGGGCATTAATGTTTGGTTACTTCCCTTTTGAACAATGAGCACAATTACCATTCCACTTCACTATTGATCCAGCAAACTGATGAAACAGCCTTATATAGATCCCTTTCAATTTTATTTGAAATTTTTTCATTCTTCTCAATGAGTTGTACTGACATCATAAGGCTAATCTTTATGCATTCTGGTTTATGTAGATGTAGACTTATTGTTAGCATTACTGATTCTAAATATCGGCACAAGTGATGATGATGATATTGAGAATGCAGGTTGAACTTATGCTAGTTGTACAGTCCCAGTGTTTTTCTGTATAAATACTATACAAAATAATTGAAGTTTAGTTTTGGTAGTTTGATAAGTTGCATGTCTTATCTCCTCTCAAAAAATTAGTTGCATATCTTATCAGATCATCAGCATGGCAAGTATTTTTTTGTACTTTTACTCCTTGTTTGGTTTTACCTTTAGCATGCTTATATTCTAGAGTGATGCATACTATTCATTGTGTATTAAAATTTGAGTCGAGCTAAGTAAGCTGAGAAGAGCATTTGCACTGCTTTAAGGTCTTGTTTGGCCCTGATTTGTAATTTCGGACTCACTGATGAACATGATGGCCATTCCACTTGAGAACTTTGCCCCAAAAAATCTTGATCAAAACTCTGTCCATTCAGCATTTCTATTTAACGTTGATTGTACACCGTGGTGGAATTCAAATGAACGGAAGATTCCAGTAGCTTTGTCTGATAATATAACTCTAAAACTTGAAACTCCCGCACAACCTTATCACAAGCAATTAGGCCTTGAGTTACAAGATCAGGAGTCATCCACAGCCCATTCAACTGGTCAATCTCTTCACAAAGTGTGTCCTATGGAAGCTCAAAATACTCAAGAGCAATGTGTTTCTTCAGAATCTGGTACTTGAATTCTTGGGTTTCTAATTTATTTACTTTTCATTCTACATTTGTATGATTAATTGTAGTGTGGCTCCATTGACGCAAACAACTATACGAGAAATCGAGAAAAGCTAGAGGAATAGGTGGTCTTCTAGGTAAAATGCTGCTGTAGCTAGAAAATTAAATGCTAGCATTGTACTAATGACATGCCAAGGCACAACACTTTTATCTGTGTCGATCGCCCCCGAACCTGCGTGGCACACTTAGAGGCTCAGATAAAGAGCTGGTAGATGAACTGCTGAAGGGCTTATGAATATAAATTATTTGTATGCCTCAAATTTATTCTATTCTAGTTCTACAGGTGCCAAAGGATTTAAATGGTTAAGGATATTACCAAGAGTGAAAAGTCGTTGTGCCTACTTATGGTCCTGTTGTATAACAAAGCTCATCAGCATCTATGTTATTATCTTTTATGTTTTCAATGTTTTGGATGTGTTTTAGGCTATCTAACCCCAAATAAGTCTTCTTGGTTCAGGTCAAGATGAAAATTGTGGCGAGAGTGTAGAAAATCAGATGAAATCAGTTATTTTGCTTAGCAACCCTGAATTTATGTTCAATTCTCCCCAAGTTGATGGCTGCCCTTCTTCCATGGTAGGTCCAGATTGAGTTGTGTTATTTGATTTCTGTTTCTTATTTGTTGCTAAGCTAATTTGTCTCCCAACTTTAGGCTCGAGTGTCATACCCTTACATAGATCCTTACTATGGCGGGCTTTTATACGGCGGCTATTGCCAGCAGGCTATTCATGTAAGTTCTATTAGTTATCCTGTTTTTTCCTCACCATTTGAACTTTTGGATTGTGAAGTCAATTAGAACTTCGGAGCTGTCATTTTATCTTCTTTTTACATTGTCCTTGAATCTTGATTGATGTAAACGATATGATTCTGATCAGAATCAAGCTCAAGTAAGTTCCAATGTTGTTGGAATTGCTCCTGCACGGGTCCCTTTACCGCATGGTCTCGCTGAAGATGGGCCGATATACGTCAATGCAAAACAATACCATGGAATCCTTAGAAGGAGGCAGTCTCGTGCAAAGCTTGAGGCTCAAAACAAAGTCATAAGAAACAGAAAGGTATCCGTGTCCACTGAGTATCTCTATCTTCCTTTAGAATTTGATTCCAAATTCGATTATTTTAGTTGATTTTAACGATTTCTAGAGACAGCCAATTGTAATAGAAGCCTTGGAAGTTACATATGGTTTGATGAGAAGAGCTCGAGTTAACTTAAAGAAAGCTTATTAAGCTCGAAACTGGAAGTAAATGTTTCTTGTGGTCTAATGTAAAAACATTATTCGGTTCAAATTATGTTGGCCACCTATCTTATATGTTAAATACCTTAAAAATATTGTAGAGTTGAGTGGTTATTGTGTGTGAATTCGAATTGCACACAAGCTATTATGGGCCCAACACTAGCTGCTACTACAAAGAAAGAAAAAAAGAAACGATCTAATTGTGCAGCCTCTTGCTTGCATGTTATTTCATGACCTAGTCAACTGGCAAACTGGATCTGCCTTTTTCTTTTTGCTTCATGTTTGATAATAACAGCACACCTTACACTAAACAAGCTGGGTCTATTTATTACTAAAATTTATGAATGATCCTTCCTTTGATTTTTCTATTGGATGAAACCATTATTTCACGTTTTTGCACAACTTCCCTTCATTTGCAGCCGTATCTTCACGAGTCTCGGCATATTCATGCACTGAACAGAGTGAGGGGATCTGGGGGACGCTTTCTCAGTGCGAAAAAGAATCAGCCGCCTGATCCCAATCGAATCACTCTTCCGACCACCCTGCGCCAGAAAAAAGACACTCCAGACTTCAATAATTGCAGCTCTGAAACTGGTGACCGTGATCATAGCATCATGACTGCAACATGCTCTGATATCTCAAGCATCTCCAATGGTTCAGTACGGTTCGGGCAGCCCAACAACCGGTTCTCCACCATCTCTTCCAATATGGGTGGAAGAATGGAGCAATACAGGGGTGGAGTCTTTGTGCAGGGCGAAACGCGGAGCCATTCCTCGATTGTCCAGTGAGAAATATGTGGAAGGTGGAGGAGCTTCCTTGTTAGTTGAACTAGACTAGACAGGCAAATCATCCTTGGCTTTGTTACTTATTTATGCTTTGAACTTTGAAGTGGGTACACAGACCACCATTAATGTACGAGAAAATATTGGCATTATGATTATGCCCTCGAATAATTTCCTTATGTTTAGAAGCAGATGTTGATGGAATAGACCAAAATCTCCCCGCTGCTTTGTACTGCATGGACTTGTTTGGAGTAACAAGTTGGCTATTGCTAAGAGTATTTTGGTAATTCCAACGCTGTTTCAGTTTTTTCTTAGACCAGCGTTACCAGCCGGCGATGCACCGGCGGTCCTCCGCCGTTGTGAGTGACACGTGTACGAAAAGTACGAGATGTTGCCCTGTGAATTGTGATCCATCGATCAGAACAACTAAATAGCTTTATTTACCGTCGCTTTGACTTGGCGGCACTTCTCGCCATAAAACCAAATTTAAAAATCGATTTAAATCCGCCAGCCAAACAGCACGCGCCACGTCTTTGGATGTTGAAGAAATTCCAAGTTGCTCTACTGCATGTTGTTTATAAATCTAAAATGGAATTATTAATTATTGTTTATTCGATTTATTGAATTTTTAATTTCTTTTCTGTTCCCTCTCCTTTTAAAGAGAAAGAGCAGCAGCCCAATCTTCAAAAGCTCAACCGTAACAACACTCTCCTTCTACTACTGAAAATTTTTGGGCGTTTGGTTTCGTTTCGTTTCTCGGTGCCTTTCCTCTCTTCTCCACAGGTATTCCATTGCAGAACTGGCTTTCTCGTTCTTCTTGTTGCTTTTTCTTCCACTGGTTTTCACTCTCCATTTCTTCTTTCTTTCTAATTTGACTTCTATAACCATTACTCGCTGTTTGATTCTTGTTTTCTCGAATTCAAGCTCAGAAACCGGGCTCGGGATTCGGCAAACATGGATGGAGGTGCAGCATACAACCCTCGGACTGTGGAAGAGGTTTTCAGGGACTTTAAGGGCCGTCGTGCCGGAATGATTAGAGCTCTCACCACCGGTATTGCTCAATCTCCGTTTTCCTTTTCCTTCTCTTCTATTTCTGGCTTTACGTTTTCAAGTTTTAGGGTTTTATGTAGGTTTTCTTGGCTCTGTACATTTCTGATTAGTTTTCCGAGGGGAGCCTCGTAATTACTCTTCCCCCTTGCCACCTTTTTGCAGATGTCGAAGAATTTTATCAGCAGTGCGACCCTGGTCTGAGCTCTCTTCTCTGTATTCTTCCTCTTTTACATAACTCGTGGGTCGTCGTTTACTTTTGCGATTACGATTTGAGAGTAACATTGTATTTTTTAATATTCTTTTGAGAACTTTTCTGTGTGGTATTCTCTACATTTATGAAATTTTTGGTAATGGAAAAATAAAGCAACACACTGTCTATTTATTGCTCTTGACAGCGAGAGCCACTATTTGGTGAGATTTCAAAGAACTACATGTTATCTACACACGCATTATAACTAGAATCTGTATTTTACTAGCATTTTTTTTTCTTTTTGGCTATATCTAGCTAATTACATCGTGAAACGTGATTGGAACCTCAAAGTTCTTGTTTGAAGTCACCAACTATGATATCCATTTCATCTGGCTCGCACGTAGCAAGTAATTGTTATTGGAACTTCAGTCACTTGTTGTTTCTTGAGTATGAATTTGGTGACAACAATGGAAGCTTGGCTGTTGCTTTTCTCCATGCTTTCTGTTCTAGGCCACTCAAAGAATAAATGCGATAAATATTGGGGACCCAAGTCTTTCTAATTTTTGAATAATAAAATATTTGCTTTTGGAATGGAACCATTTACTTTTTTAATATCACTCAATGACTCTAGTACTCTATGGAGCTATTTCTGCTTTTACGGACAGTGGTGAGCTTTTCAACTATTTACGCAAGTGGTACAAATTTCAGAGAAGGAAAACCTCTGCCTATATGGGTTCCCTAATGAACAGTGGGAAGTTAATTTGCCTGCTGAAGAAGTACCTCCAGAGCTTCCGGAACCAGCATTGGGCATTAACTTTGCTAGAGATGGGATGCAAGAAAAGGATTGGCTATCCCTTGTTGCCGTTCATAGTGACGCATGGCTTCTTGCCGTGGCTTTCTATTTTGGTGCTAGATTTGGCTTTGATAAATCTGACAGGTACTTTCTTCTCCTTACCATTTATGAACCAATTTTACTGGCTACTGCTGCTGTGCGGTGCAGCCGCAGCAGCACCACCACCACAGTCACATATCACTACGTGTATGGCTTAGGATTTGAAAATACAAAATTATCTCTGATATTTTAAAAAGAGAAAGAGACAAAATAATTAGATGTGCAGAGCACTACACTGATGTCTGGCATATCTCATTTCCAATTATGCTCCCACCCCACCCATTATTTGAAGATTGCACTATAAGGAGACTGACTGATGGGTCCTTATTCTTTATGTATTAAAGGGTTGTATTTTAACTGATGAATTTGAGTTAAATTGGTCAGATCAAAAGGACTAAAGCAAATCATGTGTTTCTCTTTCAAAAACAGTCAAGAAAACTAGGTGGTTTGGAAATATAGACTCGGATTCAGGCATTTTATTTCTTGAAATGTGATCATTTTCTCTTCACGTCGTTATCTGCTAATTTTTGTTAATGGTATTCATGTTCAAGGAAACGCCTTTTTACAATGATAAATGACCTACCCACGATATTTGAGGTTGTGACTGGAAACGTGAAGAAACAGGGAAAAGATAAATCATTAGTCACAAATAACAGCAGCAACAAATCCAAGACGGGCTCAAAAGGGGTAAACATAATTTTCAGTATCTTAGTTCATTTTCATTCGTAGAACAGTGATCTATGTCTTGTTTGGGTTGGATTGATGAAGAGTCGTGTACCTCAGTGTTGGCATTTAATATAATCAGATATTCTTTACCGTATGCAATTTTTTTCTCTTCAAGAACAGAAGACAGAATATAACAAACTTACAAAGGAAAAGGGAGTTATGATAATAGCTGGACTTCTGAATCACAATGATAGTAATATTGGTATACATAGCAGATCAGATGCCTGTGTTATTCATTTTAACATCCCAAGTTTTTGAATTCAATGTATCATTCATGATGGAACTTATCTGCTATTTATGTGTAATGGGTCTGATGAAAGTCCAGCTTAGAACGGTTTTTGTTCTACATATGATCTTTTGACCATATAATAATTTGTTTCGTAACAACATGAACATTACAAACAGCGAGGATCTGAATCAAGCAAATTTCCCAAGGGGTTGGCAAAAGATGAGGATGAGGGAATGGACGAGGAAGATGAAGAGGAGCACGGGGAGACCTTATGTGGGGCGTGCGGAGAGAATTATGCGTCGGACGAGTTTTGGATATGTTGCGACATTTGTGAGAAGTGGTTTCATGGCAAGTGTGTGAAGATCACTCCTGCAAGGGCCGAACATATCAAGCAGTACAAATGCCCCTCGTGCAGCAATAAGAGAGCTCGGCCCTGATAATAATCTGTTAACTTTATTGATGTTGGATTAAAGCTAACTTGTAGTCAGTCCAGTGTTAATCCATGTTCCCATCCCACAGGGTATGCATTAAATGCTTTGTCTTGGAACCTTGTTCATTCGGATAATTCAAAGGTTATGGAAATGTATTTTATGTAGGAACCTGTCGGCAATGGAGTATGAAACATTCTAATTTAACTTGTTTAATTGTTTAACTTCTTGTGGGGTCCCATTATCCCAGTAATTGTTTAAGAATCGAGAGTTGTGTGGTGTTTGGATGAGAATTTGAAGTATTCAAGTGAAAAAGATATTAGAGACTCTGGTTTGTCGGTCGTTGATGGGCCATGCCATCATATCTGCAGTAGATGCAGCTTCCCCTAGGGGAGAAATGGACTAATTAGAGGACAAGAGATTTGAAAGATAAATCAATAAAACTTTGGTCTATGATGGTCCGTCCTTCTCCTCAGTTATATGATCTAAAAATCATAAATTTCAGTGCGCAAACAATTACAATGATGATGACAGGAGAAAGCCACTCGACCTTGTAATTTATGCATATTTATACGACAATACAGATTCTTCCCGTAGTTCTTTTAGTTTTGATGGTAATACATTCACCATTTTCCCCTTTGAAGTTTTGAAGTGTATCAGTGTATGTACAGTCACCTTAACCTGAAATTTTCACTCGGGAATAAAACATTTGGGTTCCGTACAAGAGGGTTTAGTGCAGAAAAGGCTCTCCACTTAGCCCCAGATCCAGATGAGATGCTCCACAAGGATTCCGAATCTTTATCTCCAGGCTGCACCTTCGGAGTTTCGGGAGCAGCCTTCGCCTTCATAAATGGATGCTTCTTGCCTTTTCCCATGCCATTGGCGAGCAACCAGCGTGAACCAGATTTCTGTTGGCTGGAGGTAGAGGTACCCCACAGTTTCTTATTGGGTTCAGTCTTGATACCTGCAACATGAACTTCTGTTATTCTGAACTGAGGAACGCCTTGCTGTTCACAAGTTTTCTCCTCTGGTTCTTCCTTTTTCTCAATTCTTGCAACCAACTCCGGTTCATCCTCTTCGAAGTTGTTTCGTAACTCCGAAACCGTGCTATATATTTTAGGTTTTGGTGGGATAAACACTCTCTCCACCTGGATAAGAGAAAGCATAGGGGCACCAACTGGTTCGTAGTTTCTCAATGGATCCCGGAGTTGCACCATAAGTGCTACTGTGAAGTTGTTGCCCAGTAAACCACACTTTCTGCTAGACCCCTTTCCCCGCCTTCTATCTCCCTTCGTGCCACCACGAATGAAGTCCAAGGAATTAGCATGATGAGCAGCAAGTATTTTAGAAGTATGTTCACTGATAATTTCTTCATCATCAAATTCACCAGAATCCAATCTCATCCATTCGTCAAGAGAAAGAGAAAGACCCATTAATCCATCAACATCATCACCATTGTCTTTTATGTCCAACAACTGCAATCCAGCAGTTCCCTCCAGTCCAAGGGACCCACTAATGTCGATTCCCTTGCCCCGGAGAGCTGAAAATTCTCCAATAGACTGTGAACTGATGTTGGAAGGTGCCTCATCCTGTGACATTCCTGACTGTATCCTCAGCCCTTCAATTGAAAGGGCTTCAATCTTGTCCATGGCAAGTGGAGCAAGATCTTCTAAGGATACATATTCGGTCTCAGGCTCACCACCACGCAGGGAGTTTGAACTAAACTTATCATGCTCATGCCTAGAACCAGATGATCTTCCCATGGAATTTCTTCTTCTATCAAATGGACCTTGCTCAAAAACTAATTCATGCTGCATCATACATTGCCTGTTCAAATGTAGAGATGACAAATAGTTATAATAAGACAGTAGAGAACCTCCCAGAGGGGGGGAACTAGTTACATTTTTAACAAAGAGATGAGATCACAAACCTCTCAGAACCCTCCAAAGTGGGGACAGCTTCCCACGCTACTTGTTGCATTGTTTTCCCAGTTATATCTTCCAAAGGCATTAACTTATTTGCTTGCATAGAAAGTTTTTCAATCCCAACTGAGGCCAGACGCTGTAGTATCTCCATTATCCCAGAACCCATTTCTGCAGGGACTACCACTGGAGTAGAAACCTGCATGATCAGGTTCCCACCGCTCTTAGCATTCTGGAAAATCTCAGGATTCATAGACCGCAAAAACCCACCATTTTTTGTCTGGATAAATGAACCCAATCCCTCCCCTAGAGAAGGCAATTCAAACGGATCTCCACAAGGTAAATCAACTGGCCTTCCAAACCCACGAGAGCTGCTTGGCGGAGACTGCTGAAAGGCTTCCTCGTTCAAGCCCCACTCATGCATCAAAACCTCTGTTTCCAAATCTTCCAACATCTTTGCCTTCATTTTACTCCTCGTTGCTTCATTTTCTGTGAAGTACATGTCTTCATTAGCATTCACTGTTGACGGAAAAGCAAAAGGCATATCAGCCATGACCCCAAACTCAGAACTTGCATCAAAATTGTGACTGCATGCTGGATGATTCTCATCTTCAATATTAAAATCAAACAATGAATAACCACTAGCGACAGCTTCCTCCTCAAATTGTCGTAACAGCCGCTCTCTTGGAGACTCCAGCTCACTCTCAGAACTCAAGACATATGGACTTTGTTCTAACCCCAACATACGTAAGAAATCACTTTCCAAGAAGTCATCATCTAAATCAAGGGGCATAGCCTTTCCGGTCGTTTCGTCACTTGACTTAAATTCTGAGTTATTCTCCTGGTCCTCCTCAGGAGACTCCAATGCTGCTGTCTCAAGCTCAGACACGCAACTTAAAGCGGACTCCAACTCCTTCATGATCGATTCTTTGGTGCAAATATCATAATCATTAGAAGAACTATTACATGCAACGGCTTCCTCAGTGTAGTTATCTTGCGTATCCTCCTCCTGGAAATTCACCCTGCTACCCTCTTCATGAGACATCAATAATTCATTGTCAATTTCAGGGCGTCCAACTGAAGTAGCATCAACATCTTTTACATCAATTTTCTCCACCTGTTCCTCAGATGGCACTTCAATCCCTCGTTCAACGAATGAGAACTCAGCACCACAATCACCATCAGCATTTTCATTCTCAGGGGCAGAAGAAGGGCAAGAATCAGATTTTGTTGGATGAGAATATTCAGTGTACACATCAAGCACAGGTTTACTGTCCACCGAAGCATCCAATTTATCATCATCAAACTTTTGGTATAGTACATCTACCGACTTGGCAAGTTCTGATTTTGGAACTGGTAGAACCTCGTGAAGATCCTTTATGTCATCTACCGACCGTGATGTAACAAGAGAATGATTGTCCGTCGTTCCAGGAAGACTCTCAGTATTCTGGACTCTGCTTCTACCACCAGATTCACCAAACACCATCTCGGATTTCCCAATACCATGCTTATTCTGCTTTGACTTCAAGGAATCGCCGATATGATTTACAGGGGTTGTCACATTATCACCCACCACTGTGTATCCAAAACTAACATTCATTGAGGCACCTTTGGCCCTACCAGATAATTTAAAACTTGTAGCCCACTTTCCAGAGCTCTGTTCTTCTTCTAACTCCTCCAATGTTAGGGGAAGCAACCTTGTAAGATCAACCCGATGTTTCCCCAAATCAACCTCTGAAGTACCATATACGGAAGCATAGAGTAAAAAATGCTTGGCCTCGTACTTTGCGGAATGATGGGGTCCATTCCCACTACCATGTACTGTACAAGTACAGTTCAACTGCTCTTCAAATTCTACCTTGCCCCGGACGACCTTCTTGGGACGAGTTACCAATATACCATCCCGCCTCTTCCAGTACACACTTAGACTAAAATCGTCAAAGTCGATAGGTAACCCCTCGATGGAGTGAACTTGGAGAGAGAAACAACAATTAAACCTGCGGTTTCGAACATGGGAGAATGCCTTTAGTGTCTTCCAACTCCAGATAGATTTCTTGTCCTTGCGTGTTGAGTCCTCAGTAGCGCCTTTTAGCTTCGACTTGGGATCGGGCAAATTCGTTTTCCCAGTAGATCTTTGTCGAGCATTAGCACTAGAATTAGAATTTCTCGAGGTATTTTTGTTCATGTAAAGAGCTTTGCTTATGGTTTCTATCTCATTCAACAACTTCTCATTGCCCGAACGATCCCCAATCTTCTTAGTATCAGCCTTTGACAGCATCGTCTCTCGCCACAAGCTCTGGAGTTAAACCAATATAAACAAGCAATTAAGCAAAGTAACAAGCACATCACATAAACATCCTATTAAAATGACCTTAATTCAAACAAACGAACAATATCTCTCCTGTAATTCAACAAATACTTGAAATGCCTTCCAAGAATCCACCTATAGACATATTAAATTCATTTCGCTATAGTGCATAAGGAAACACACGATGACTAAATCATTACCAGGTTCGAGCTAATCGGAAAACTCTGCTGATGAAGCGAATCAGGAACCCTAAACTACCGAACCCAGATCATAACCTCTTCCGACTCCGGCAGAAAAGTATTTCAAATTCGAGGAATTTGAACAATAAAATGATGGAATATATATATATATATGAACAAAGGGAAAAGTGACGAAGAGTAAAACTATGTCGAAAACCCTACAGAGGAACTCGCGGTGTTGGAATCGCGTTTATCTCCCCAAATCTCTCTATCTCTGTCTCTCTCTCTCCCCCAATTTGAATTGCCGCTGCAGCTTTATTCTTCAAACCAAAATATTAAAAAGTTTCAGTAAGCGACATAATCTTTCAATTATTTCGATTTTCACCGCTCTATTTTCTATATATCCACTGAATTTTCTCCATGATCTGTAATTTACCAAAATCCTATATTTAATGAGAAATATCACAATTTTTAAAAAATAACATAAACTTCAGTATAGAAGAGTATATGAATTTATCTAAAATGAACGATGTCGTATGAATATACAAATGTGAAGTTTACATACTGAATTATTACTAGAATAATAATTAATAATTTTTTTATGAGAAATAATATGGGTTGAAAATTAATAAGTCAATATTTTTTTAAAAAATAATAATTTAGAAATAAATAATTTTGTCTGACATCCAACAAAATATACCTGCAACAAAATATACCAGCCGCTAACATGTAATTCATACCTACTCCATTGAAAAAACAAAACATACAAAATTATTCATATAAATAACAAATTAAAAATCAAATATATTTTTGTCTTCTTTTTTTCATCATGGAGACATTAATTAAAACTTTAAATGATGCTGATGATTTGAAAAAATAAATGAATAAATATTCAAACATGATAAAAACACGAAATTTAATTTAAATGAGATGTTGTCACTGGAAGAATCAAGTGGGAGAATTATTGTTTTAGGTAAAAAGAATTCAAACATAAAATATTTATTGAGTGTAAAGAAAACGTGACTTGGATATAATAAATCGTCACCCTTTGCTGTAAATTGAAATTGCATCTAAAAAGAAAGAGAAAAAAAAATTGCTTTTTTATATATATGTAATGAGTTGGATGTTGATTCTCCACGCGCCTTTTGGTTGGTTGGAGTTGTGGGGGTTAGTAGAAAAATGCACAAGTTTGAAAGCACAAGGCAAGAAACCACTAATGGACGCGACGTGGCGCGGGTTTCAAATATTTTAATTTCGAAATGCAATCCATAGGCTCCACTATGGCCCACCGCCCACTTGATTTAAATACTGCGCCAACTTTTTTTTTTCTGCAGCTTAAAAAATATAAAAGAAAATAAAAAATGTAAAGGCCTAGTGGTTTGGTCCAACTCTTTACATGGGCCGTCAGTGATAGGGCCCGATAAGCCATTCGGTTTTGGGCTTCAAAATTCAATTTAGAAGCAAAAGTACATTAACAGTTGAGGGCTGTTCGGTAATTTTGTAGAAATTTTGGAAATAACTAAAATAATTTTTTCTTTTTGGTTACAATTTTCGATTTGTTTCAAAGCATAAATAAAAAGCTTGTTTCATTCTACTTGAATTCATGATGTTGGGATCATGCAAATCATTTTTCTTTATTAAAAATGATGGAGTATAAACAAGAAAAAAAGGCTATCAAACAGGTCCTGAATTATCCTTGTATTTATTAATTGACCAAACAAGAAAGAAAGAACGAAGAAGAAAAAAGAATTATACTCGTGGTGGGCATTTGTGTAATATTTTAAGAAATTCCAAAAAAATAAATATAAAAGAGGAAATGGGAATACCACGTGTAGATTGTGAGGGAAATGGAGTGGAGGAAAGGATGAGTTGATTTGTGATTGAGGAACCTTTGGAGGGAAAAAAAAAAGAAGAAGAAGAAGATTTGTGATTGAGGCATATAAAATGGGCCCATCGGTTCCTCCTGGACATCACAGGTTTCTCTCCCTCCCTTCCGATTTCCGACGGCTCTCTCCAATGGCCTCCTCTTTCTCCCTCTACTCCACACTCTCCCCCAAACACGATTCTCTCTTTCCCCGCCCCGCCGCCCGGAATTCTTTCACCGTCGTCTGTTCCTCCGCCACCTCCGACCCCGCTTCCTCCCCTCTCCTCCACTCATCTCCGCCCATCCGCCTCAACGGCCACCAGCTCGCCGGTGCAAACACCCTAGACCAAGCTCGTCCGCGTCGCTCCATTGTCGGCGACGGCGACCGTAATTTCTCGGCCAAGTACGTGCCGTTTGGTTCTGGCTTTGATTCCCCCGAGTGGTACTCGCTCGACGACATTGTTTATCGGAGCCGCTCCGGCGGGCTTCTCGATGTTCAGCACGACATGGAAGCTTTGAAGAACTTCGACGGAGCGTATTGGCGAAACCTCTTCGATTCGCGCGTGGGGAAGACAACTTGGCCATATGGCTCCGGCGTGTGGAGCAAGAAGGAGTGGGTGCTGCCGGAGATTGATTCCGACGACATCGTCAGCGCCTTCGAGGGAAATTCGAATCTCTTCTGGGCAGAGCGTTTTGGCAAACAGTTTCTAGGTATGAATGACGTGTGGGTCAAACACTGTGGAATTAGTCACACAGGCAGTTTCAAAGACCTTGGAATGACCGTTTTGGTCAGCCAAGTCAATCGTTTGAGGAAAATGAACCGTCCAGTCATTGGTGTTGGCTGTGCCTCAACTGGGGACACCTCCGCCGCGCTATCTGCCTATTGTGCCGCTGCAGGAATTCCATCGATTGTCTTCCTCCCGACCGATAAGATTTCTATCGCACAGTTAGTGCAACCAATTGCAAATGGCGCTTTTGTCTTAAGCATGGACACCGATTTTGACGGTTGCATGAAATTAATCCGAGAAGTCACAGCAGAGCTTCCAATTTACCTAGCAAATTCACTCAACAGTTTAAGATTGGAAGGGCAAAAGACAGCGGCCATTGAAATTCTTCAGCAGTTTGATTGGGAAGTCCCCGATTGGGTTATCATACCAGGGGGCAACTTAGGGAATATATACGCATTTTACAAAGGATTTAAAATGTGCCAAGAATTAGGGCTCGTCGACAAAATTCCGAGGCTGGTTTGTGCTCAAGCGGCAAACGCAAATCCGCTTTACTTATATTACAAATCTGGCTGGAAAGAATTTACGCCATTGAAGGCGAGCACGACGTTTGCATCTGCAATTCAGATTGGAGATCCAGTTTCCATAGACAGAGCTGTGTTTGCTCTGAAGAACTCCGATGGGATTGTGGAAGAAGCGACCGAGGAGGAATTAATGGATGCCACAGCTTTGGCTGATTCGACGGGGATGTTCATTTGCCCGCACACAGGGGTCGCACTAACAGCTCTGATCAAGCTCAGAAACAGAGACGTCATCAGAGCTAATGATAGAACGGTGGTGGTAAGCACAGCCCATGGCCTGAAATTCACTCAATCCAAGATCGATTACCACTCCAGAGCAATCCCGAGCATGGATTGCCGGTTTGCGAACCCACCAGTGGAAGTGAAAGCGGATTTTGGAGCGGTTATGGATGTTCTTAAGGATCATATATTGAGGAGGAGTCGTAAGTCTCAGTTATATGCGAATTTTTCTTTTTCTGAAAGTCAGTAATATGCCGTCGGGCTTCATCTTCAAGCGGCAGACGTTCTGTTTTTTGTCTGTAAAAATTTATTTTGCTCTCCTACTTGAAGTTGTGGAATGTTTGTGATGAAGGGACAGAATCCCACTAATGCTATCCCACTTATGCTATCTCTAAAGTTTTTGTGAATACTATTTTACTTTGTGGTAGAATTAAATTCAATTGGAAAATTCGACCATAATTGACATGAAGATGTCGAGATGGTAGTAGAAATTAGAAGGGTTTTTTTGTGGACGGAGATTATATGTGAATTACTGTTGAGTTATGTTTCTTTTGATTTTTTTTTTCCAATGGTTGTTATTTATGTCTTTCTAATGTGATGTATATTGATAAATTCATGATTGTCTTTTTGATATCTTGTGAACTAAGAATTGTTCTCTACCTCTACTATCAAACTTCAATCCCCACCGCACGTTACTTAAAATAATAAATAAATAAATTGTTTACATAGTTTATCCCTCAATAGATTTAATTGAATGATTTTATGTTTGGTGAGTATGTTTACTATTTGACGAAGTAATTATTTGTTTATTTATTTGAATGAATATATATATATATATTTTTAAGTATAAGAACGTGCGTAGAATTTAAATTCAACCATCTTTTAGTAAGAGGTGCGTGCTATTAATCATGAGGTGAGTTCAAATGGGCTATTTTAATAAATTTCAAATACTTATGTGAAAGATAATAATTTTTATAAATTATAGAGTTGGAAATTATAATTACAGATTTTTTTAGGAGAAAATTATAATTAAAGTTAAAACATAATAAAGAAAAATGTAATTTAAGTTTAGTTTGGTTTACTTGATTTTAAAAAAAAATGATAAAATGTCAAAAAAAATTCCCCAGATTAAAACCCTAGCTGCCTATAACTCGGCTTTGCTTTTCGTTGTCGCTGTGTGTCACTAACAATCTGCCATTCTTACTGCGGGCTTCATAGAGTCGTAAAGATGGTGTGGTTTCAGTGCGAGGACTGTGGAGACAACCTCAAGAAACCCAAGTTGCCGAATCACTTCAGAACATGTTCCGCTACCAAGGTTTGCATTCTCTATTTCTTCAAAGAAAAGGGAAATCGGATATATGCGCTTTTCCAGAACTCATTCTGATGGACGAATGCGTTTCCTCCGATTTCCCCCTAAAAACAATCTATAATTTGGAATTTTCATCAGTTGGACCGGTGAACATTAGAGTTCTACCATGGAGATGATTTGAAGCGCATTACGGTTTCGTCTAATCGTATTTTCTCCCCCTTTTTTTTTTTTGCGTTTTCTTCTGATTGATTCCTATGATTTCATGCAGTTGTCTTGCATCGATTGTGGACAAATGTTTGGACAGGAAAGCGTTCAAGGCCATACTCAATGTATTACAGAAGCGGTAAGAATTTATTTTTGATACTCCGTTATTTTACTGGTTAAACGAAATTTTCTTCCACTGGAATCTCCATATAAACGCTTTCTTCTTGAACAAAACGTCGATCGTATTTATGCATATGACAATGACTGTTGTAAAAGATGCCATTTAGTACTAATAATCATAGGTTCAGAACAAACACCATATAGATTACTGCCCCAGCTTCAGTAGGACGTCTGTGTTGTTTTTCTCGTATCACATTTTGCTACTTATTATTGCAGGAAAAATATGGTCCAAAGGGGCAAGGGGCAGCTATGAACGTCACTACCCCTAAGTCCAACAAGGATTCAAAACAGCAACCTGATTTTGATATTCTCGTTGGATTGTCTGAACGCCCACCTTGGTTCTGCAGGTATCTTTATTTTTGTTCTGTTAAACACTTTATCCAAAAAAAAAAAACATTTAACTATTAAACGTAACAATTAAATCCATTAAGCTGGAACGAGTTTGTTCACCAATACTCAGCATTTCATTGTGACATTTAAGAGTTAATTTTTTGATAATTGTTAAGATAAGTTGGCACTTAAAAAATGTATTGATTTATTGAGATTTGCTATCTGATTCTAAGTGGATTCTTTTGTGTATGTACTATGTTTCATGTGTTTTCCGCAGCCTTTGCAATACGAAGGCAACTAGTAAACAGACTTTGCTGCTTCATGCAGAAGGAAAGAAGCATAAGGCAAAAGCCCGTGGATTTCATGCAGTGAAAAAACAATCTAATCAGACTGAGGTGACTGTCCCAGATATAGAACCTACATTGGAAGACACTCCCAAAGGTAAAGTAACCGAAAATGGACATGTTGGGGCAGAAAAACTGCAAGATCAGCTTGAAGCTAAAAACTTGGAAGCACAGAATGGGACTTCACATACGAAGAAAAAGCGGAAACGTGATGTTGGGGAGGATGGTTCAACAGAAAACACTAGAGAAGATGACCCAAGTAGAGGTAATGGGGAGGTTATTCAGGGTGAAAGAACATCACCAACTGAAGCTGAGATTGAGCCAATGAAAAAGAAGATCAAGTGGAAAAAGCTGATAACATCGATTCTTAAATCTGTATGTTTTTTGTGCATTCTCTTATTTACATATTTCCTGTCAGGCTTATTATGGTCTATGTCTATGATAATTTGGTTCATCGTTTTCTTGATCATCAAAGTTTTTTTTTTTAAGAAAGACTTTTTTGTTGGAATAATCCCCATGATGAGGAATGTTAATCAGTTAATTAGAGGAAAAACTGTGAAAATGTTGCTAGTACTATGGTAGGCGACCTTATTAGATATTGATACCCGTAGTATAGCTAGCGTGACCCTTAAGAAAGACACAGAATTCCTTTCCAATTTAGCAATGTGTTTTCTTGCTACCATGTTCTAACATTTCTACTGTATTTTTATGTATCTGGACAGAATCCTGATGGTGTTCTCAAGTTGTCGAAACTGAGAAAACTTGCTCTCAAATCTGTTCGTGAATCTGGCGTCACAGAAGATGAAACCAAACTCATCGAGATGCTCGAGGAAAAGGTAGCACATKGATCTATATTTTCCAGATCATTTGTTGTCTATTTATAAGTTTTTGGATGTATGGTTGAGCTTTGAAATTGAAACTAATGGGCATTCCATTTGCTAACAATGTTTCCTGTGACTGCCAGATCAACTCGAGCTCAAAATTTGCCGTTGAGAAGAAACATGTTCGGCTAACAGCTAAAGCTTGAAACACCATTTAATATTCATTTTTGCGGCACTTGCTTGCCTATTTGTGTCTAGTGAGTTTTAGACGATCACATGTTCGATTAATCGTGGAGGTGAGAGTTAATGAAATATTTCAGTGGGTTAGGGTACGATCTGCTCCATTCATAGGATAAGAAATTTTGAAAAGAAACATTTGGTACTATTATTGTTGTGTCAAAAGTAAATTTATTTCTTTACGTTAGGTTGCAATACAATCCTGAAAAGAAAGAAGCAGAGACAGTGGATATTTAATCTTCTTGTATAATTCCCTTACGTAGAATGACAATGGCGATGACGATCACATTCCTCATTTTTTGTAATGTTGAATTGCTTATTTTCTGGAAGAACTCTTTAGGTTATGCTGCCAAACATGATTTTGTATTTGGTTGCATTGATTGGCTGGCTTCGGAAGAATCAGTTCTGTGAAGGCGAGAAATCCAGATTGTTTAGCTTGGGAAAATAGAGGGATCCTCGACTTTATTGATATAATATAAAAAACGTGTAAAGTATAAAATTCATGTATTACATAACTGTTTGTAACTTTGTGTATTATAAATGCGACAACTCTCTTTTGAAAGAGGTGGCAAACATATGAAAATATGATTTATAATCATTTACATTTTTGTTGCAAATAAAAGTAACAGAAATCAATTCACCATTGTCACACATTTAATCTTTATCTGCACATCCATGGAACCCTGTTCTGCAAGAGACTGTGTTGGCGACGCTGAAGGAGCCAAGAATGCAGTTTCAGCCGTGGAGGCGAGGCTATGACAGTAGAACAGCTACAACGACTAACAAGATGACCGAACATGCAAGAGCCTGCGCCATTTACAATTTCTTGCTTCTTCAGAAACTCGAGCAGATTCAATGAGAACACTCGACAGAAAGGGGGCAAAATGCATAAAAATGAAAGGTAATTCGGGCAATTGATGTAAATTATGCTTGTTTTCCCCCCTTTCCATTGTTATTTGTTTATGTGGGGAAGAGAGATTAAAGTCTCACTTACAGCAATAGCAGATGCAGCTAGTCCAGCTCGTTCCCTTGGATCTCTACGGACGTTCCAAAAGTAGAGAACCGTGGCATAGTACCACACAAGTGGGAAAAAGAACCCGAGGAGGAAACTAAAGAGAAAGTCAGATACAAAGGTTAGATAAGGGAACTCAAGACAGGGTGTCCCCAAAATGTATTGTACACGAGAAACTGCGACGGTACTCACGAAAACCATCCAATGCCACAGCCAAAACATGGGAGAGGTTTGTCATATAGCCCTACTTGAGAATCCTCTACATCTCTGAGAAGGGTATACTTGCTTCTTACATGATCTGAAGCGTCTTTTCCTTGGCCTAGGTGTGTATAACAACATAATGTAAATATGGGTTTCATAATCAACCATTTTGAGCAAATGACTACCAAACCAAAAAACTCTCCTAACCAACATCTCCAACAGAAAACAAAATGAAAATCTCAGGAGTCAGTCTTCTGAATTAATAGATGAGCACGAAGAAAATAATTAATACAAAACTGAGAAATACTTCTATTGACCTTAGACCAGTCAAAGAAGTGTTGACAAAGAACTTGAATGATGCCATGAAGTTTCAGAAATATTGGAGCTTTTGCAATTAATAGTTGAGATCAAATAAAATGAACTGCTAGACTGATAAACACTCGCATCTTGACCGTAGACCATCAAACAACTGTTGGAAACAAGTACTAATGATGCTATTAAGTTTCGGCTCAACCTGCCCTCATAATGGAACCGGAAACATGAAAAGCCCTGTGTGTTTCAGAGATTCCATCATCAATGAAGAACGGTCAGTGATGAAGCAAATGTGTGTCCATTATGTTATACGGGCAGGTTGAAAATGGTTCAAGTAATTTCATTATCGAGCTACCAATATAAGGTAGTATACGTTATATCAGCATAATCATAAAAAAAATCCCAGTCAGCAAGTTTTCTGTTTCCTGATTTACCTCTGAATATTGAACAAAATCGGGCAGATGGCCTCAAAAGATCAAGATGCTTGTCGGAGACCGATTTCACCAGTTGGAAAGTCTCCCCGGTTCTTGCATCTGTAACATCAAGAAAATATGTTCAAAACTCAAGTAATTGTTCGTAAAATCTATTTCATCAGTTTGATATGTATTATTGGTTTGAATGAAGACTGCCAACAGGGTCTCAACAAAAGGATTATTGAACACTAAAAATCTAGCATGATACCCTTTTGATCAAAGTTGACGTTTGAATTTGAAGCTTGCTCGAATTGGATCCCTTCGATTTCTATATTGAACATATATTACTACTAAAAATGTTAAAGTATAACAATGTGCATAGGCACATATGAATGTCCAAGACACCTTATATGATCTGGGTATCAAAGAAATTACCAAGACCATGTTTGATATTACAATCCTATAAATAAAAATCATCTAATGCAACTCAGAGTCAAAATGTAAGAGCTATCATGTGCAATCCAAGTTGTAAGAAGAATTAGGGTACTTGGATCCATGTTGAAGCAGGTGCTTATGGAATGATGAAAGCTTCAAGTTTGCAGTATCCACTTTCTACACCTGTGTCAAAAGATTAAAATTTTACTCAGAACAGCATAAACCAAATGACACCCGGACAAGACTGCTTCCATATTCTTCTAGTGCAGCAACCAGAACAATTGCAACTGGAATGGAAATTTCCCCGAGTTTGGTATTTAAAATCAACATAGCTCCAAATAGTCCCAATTTTTTACCAAATTCATCGAAGTTACATGTGAATAGATTACTAATTCAATTGAACACAACGATCTTACAGAGTATTTCAATCTTCCACAAGTCGTCAGATAAATTGGTAATAAAAAATAACATAGATTGACTAGAATTACGATTCATGAATCATAGTCATGTTCCCACGCCTAATTCAGGAATAAAAGTAAAGCAGAAAAATCAGAGCGCAAAGGGACCAGACTTCTACACTACAGCTATAAAAAATATGAAACTCCAAGCTCAATTCCTGACCAAAACGAAGCTATAGACCACAGATAACATCGGTCTCCTCGTCGTTGACAAACGAAGGAACAGTTCCACAATATCCATCAATTGCGGAGCAAAACAACCGAGAAATCGAAGAAAAAAATACTTCACACTGAGAGAAAATCGCTCGCAGCAGAAAATTTGATCAGAAACAGCAAAAACAAGAGGATAATTGAACAGTAAAAAGGAGTGAGACGAGAACCAAAGAGATGAAGAGGCGAGTGGAAGCGCCTGAGAGACTGTAATTTCTCTTGCTTTGTAGGGATCGGAGATGAAATGAGCGGAGGAATGGAGGACGAAGACGGCTTCCTTGTACTACGCAGGAAATTTAAACGTCAAGCAACGATCAACTTCATCTTTCCATCGGCTAAACGCTGAGAAAATTGACTCTTTTGTTTGTGAGACTTGAAAGATAACGAAAAGCCTCTTAACAAGCAAATGGTCCAGGTCACAATTTAATGAAAATCGATACATATTTATATAAAAGTTTGAGAAATTAAAAAAAATTGTAAAAAATATTTAAATTAATAAATAAATTTTAAATAATTAATATTGATATTATATATATATGAGTGATATTTTTATGTTGTTCTAATTTTTAAAATATGAGAAAATATCAATTTATTTTTTGTTAATTAATGTCAAATCTATGAATAGATAAAAAATATATTTAATATGTCAAAATAAGTCTAACTTAACACGTTAATATATATCTCAAATTACGAGAATCTGATTCAATCCAACATTTAAAAAAAGTAATATCATGAGATTTTTTTTGAAATTTTTTTTTTTACACATCAACCACCGTAATTATCTACATGAGGTCATTATTATTTAATATTTAATGAGTAATCATTAATGTTTCACCCTCACAATAAATTCTCTCTCTTTTAGGAAAGAAGAAAAGTCTCTGTCTAGCTTAATAATTATTATATTTATATATTTTATTACAATAAATATAAAGATAGATAAGTTTTAGAAAAGAATGTAATATATTCATAGTTAACTATTATATTTTTATAACACATGTTTAATAACATTTTTTTTTCTTTTCGTAATATTTAATTTTTAAAATAGGAAGAGATAAATATTTGGTAGGTTAAATTACAAGTTTTGTCTATGAAATATAAGAGTATCAATTCCATGTATACTTAAAAAAAATACAAATTTCTCAAATTTTAAAAATTTGAATACATATATGGTAGGTAACTAAAATATGTATAATAAATTTATGAACTTTATTAGACAATTAAATTTGTGACTTGAAATTTTTAGAAGTATAAAATTAAAAATTTTGCATCTTCATGGTCAATGTTATATGATTTTTTTTATACATATAAACATCTCAATTCAATTATTAAATAGTGTTGCTGTCTTTCTTTTTTAATAATAACAATTGACATTATATCTAAAAGTTTAATATTGACACGAGATTTATTAAATAAACTATTCAAGAGTATAGTTGAACATGTTAAAGACATATATTTCTAATTAAAATTGTGTGTCCAAATCTCTATCCTGCGTGTTTGTATTAAAAATAACTATTGCATTATAAAATTTTAAACACAATACTTCTAATATTCCAATGTGAATAATGTATTTCTCTTTTTTTAGATTTAAAAATATAAATCTAACATAAATTTAAATTTAAAAATTATATATTAGGAACAACGGTGGATATTTTATAAGTTAAAATATTAAATTATTGTAATGTAAGTTGTAACTATAATTTAGAATAAACTATAAATGACAATAGGAGATTAAATAATTAAGTTGATAGGATGTCTTCCCCTCTTTTTTAGATTGAAAATTAAAATCCCATTCAAAGTCTATGCTATCTAAAATGGCAACTCTAAACTAAATAATAGATTTATATATTTTAAATAAACTATCATCATGCGTAGAAATAGACGTCGTCGGCTCGCTGCTCGGCTTTTCAGAAATGTTGGTTGGGTGAATTTTCTTTTACATATATTTATCTATTTAGAAAAATAAAATAATAGAATAGCGAGGGATCAAATTGTAATAGTGACGTATTTCGCCATATATTGTCGTTGTCGGCAGTTTATTTTCTGCTTTGCTCACTTTTATCAATTATTTTCACGAAGTTTTGAAAAAAACAAATAATATCTTGACCATTTAAGCTATATTCATATGTGATGTCGATATTATTAACAGCTGGTTCAATAACATCCATTTTTATTTTAATATTTATTTTTTTCTTTTTAAGTCATACTTAAAATAATTATTAATAAACTAGCTTTTGAAATAAAATTGAGATGATTTTATCTATTTAGTATTTTTTTAAAATATTAAGTTGATTTCCTAAAATTTCAATCGTAATTCTAAAGTTTATACCGTTAATTTTATTAGTCAAATGATGATGCATCATGTTTGTTAGAATAATGTTGATTTATTTGACATGACACAATAGAAATATTTGAAAAAATAGTGAGATAAGATATAGTGACACGAACTATATAAATTATTTAATACATTCTTGAAAAGTGTAAACACCCTATTTTATAATTTAATCTAATTTGATAAAGTATGTTTAAGATTTATAATGAAATTTGGTGGATGACTTAGTGGACTAAGCGTAAGGTAAGTGACACGTGGAGCTTAAAATATTACACGCACTACTAAAGGACGGTTAGTTGGTTTAGCAATCAATCAACCTATATTCGATTTATCTTTTCATATATATAAATTAATAAATAAAAATTAAATTATTATTTTCGTCATGTATTAGACACTTGAGTTGTCTTACTTTAAAATGTTGATCTTGATTATTGTATTTGCATTCTTAGTTTATTTTAGCCAGTATAATTTTAAAATGTTTATTTTGATCCCTATAATTTTAAGAGGAAAATATTTTAGTCCATTCATTTTATTTTTAGTGTCATTTTGTTATCATGATTTCAACACAACATTACACTCAATATGTTTCTTAGAATGTAACAATTACTTTATATTAAAGGATTTCTGTTATGGTAAAAGCGAACATAGTTCAATGGTAATTGACATATATCTTCAATCAAGAGATTGTAAGTTCAATCTCTCACCCCCACATGTTATACTAAAAAATGGTTTCCATCATGTGTTGAATTTGTGTTAAAATTTTATGATATGAATTAAAATTGTCACATTTAAAAAATACAGATATCAAAATGAACAACTCAAAGTAGATGGTGTAAGGAATGGGTCTTCACAGATTTGTCCGGTTAAAATTAAGTTACTCGGGTTAATTTACGTTTCAAACGTATACTAGCATATGCATTAAGGTATTAATTGCCACAGAAACTTAAAAGTTTGGTAGTTAATAAAAATAATACAATTTGATATGGAAGATTTTCATAGGGGCGAAGCTGGAGTTCGTGTTTTTTACTCAAAAGATTAAAACGGACATGATTTTTTGAACAAAATTAACAAATGTAATAGTATTATTGTGGAATTATCACTTTTTTAGATTGAGAAATTTGTCATATTATCGTAGTATTTTATTTAACATTATATCTTCTTTTGGAAGCAGTAATATGGTAACCTTTTTGTTTTCAATTTTGTTAACAAATCTAAGCATTTGACAATTTTTTATGTTTCTTATTTCTTATTTTTTTTTTAGAAATGGTTCTCGAAATTATATAGAAATTTCGGAAACAGTAAAAACAAGTTTCTTGTTTATTATTTCCGTTTTCAATTTGTTCCAAAACATAAATAAAAATATAGTTGTATCATTTTTTAATCCATAGATATTGAGGACGTGCAACTCTGTCTTCCTTCGTTAAAAAGAAAGAAACGAAAATAAGAGACGTAAATATTACCAAACGGGCCCTTAAAGGCCGCTTCATCTAGGACTTTTTTTTAATATTGATTTTTTAAAACTTATTTTCAAATTATTACTTTTATCAAATTTATTCTAGAAATAATGCTAAAAAATTATTGGTCGCCTCTCGTCACTTGGCGGTGCATATCGTTTCTAAAAGAATTTAGATTTTTTTTCCCTTTCTTTCTAAATCTCAACATATCATCTCTTGAACAATCTATACAAGGAAAGTGTTAATGTCTCATTAAGTTAATTGGATTTAAAGATATTTAATTTTAATTTTAATGATTGGCTTGGAAGATTTTCTCTCTCTCCTTATGACAGATATTTAAAAGATTTGAAGTCTCAAAGGTTATTATAATTTCCACTATGGGAACTGTTGAAACTTAAGATTTTCAATAGCATCATCAATCAATGTATGTTGACAAGATGTCTAAGTGATGAACTGTTGGCCAATTCTTTAATAACCTAGAAACATCGTTCTTCGCTTTCATGAGAATAATCATGAAGAATCACTAGAATACAAATGAGTTGAAATAAATAAATTAGAGATGGAGGATAAAAGTTTTAATATGATCTCGATGATGCGAGGTTACCATTTCATAATAATAGATCAATTTCTATATTTTAAGTTGACTAAATCGCTATAATTCAATCGATGTGAAATAGGTAGATTTTATTTTAGAATAGTTTGGTAATACCTACCCTTTAAGCTGAAATAAGGTGCTCATACCGATGAGAAATAAACTTTTATAATTCATGCATAAATTTAAAAGTATTTTAATATCACATTGTTATTTTATCAACAAATTTTAACGTTCGTGAGAATCATAAAAAGATTGACCCACTTTTTTCTCTTAAAATCTAATAATGATTCTTTAATATGTAAAATTAAAATAAAAACTTTTCAAATAGTAGAACAAAATGAAAAAAAAATGAAAAAAATTTAATAAAGTATAGTTCAACTAGTTAAGATAACTTCAGATCAAGGGTAATTGTGAGTTCGAATTCACATTACCCATCTCTCGAAAAAAAGGAAAAGAGAACCAAATGAAAAGATAGGTGAAATTATTAAAATTTTAATTTGATTATTGTAATTTGGTATTAAAATTCAATTTGATTATGTAATATTAAATACATGCCGCTTTTTCTATTTATATGATTTGTTGATGTTTTCCATCTCTACGGATTGTATAGAGTTTAGGTTTTAGTAGAAAATTGGGAGAAAGGGGTGAATTTTCTTGATAGTTAAAAACAATTTAAGAATAATTTATGAAGTTTAACTCAGCTCTAAAAATTAAATTAAAAATCAGCCTAAATAAAAGTAATTCCATAGGCACTGATGGGTGGGAGTTCGTAATTGTTAAAAGAATAATACTTGATTGATTAAAAATTTAACAGTTTATATCTTTATTTCTTTTTCCTTTCCTTTTTTTTTTTTCAATTGAAAACAGTAAAAACATATCTATTTGGGCAAAATGAATTGGAATTGGTAATCCTTAGATTCCACTCACTTCCTTCATTCCTTCCAACTGGTGGTGTGGTCCGAGTCTCCTTTTAAGCGCACACGCCACTTCACGATTCGTGTCCGTTCTCTGCAACAACACGCCTGCTTCAAACTTCCAGTTCCAGTTCCATTTCCAGACCTAAATTCAATTCTTCACTCTTCCACCAACACTCCGCTCGCTCCTACTTTTCTCCGTATTCTATTCGATTCTCTCCAAAATCTGCTGTTTCTGCCCAATTGATCATGGGAGACAACGGCCACTTGCATGCTATGGAGGACGATGAAGCTGCCACCGCCGAACAAAGCCGGGCTGTACGTATTTACCCTCTCGGCAACTACTACTTTGGATCCAAAGAGCCTCTTCTTTTCAAGAACGAGACCTTGGCCGATCGCCTCCACAGGATGAAATCCAAGTATCCACTCTCACTTTCCTCCCTTGTTTTCGGTTTACCTTCGTTTTGTTTCTCTCATGTGTTTTGTTTTATTGCAGCTATGCTGCTAACGGATTGAGGACTTGCGTCGAAGCAGTTTTGCTGGTCTGTTCTTTATTCTTTTTCGTTTTTCCTTCGCATATATATATTTTTTCTTGTACGTTCTTTAATAGACGACTTCCATTTTCGCTATTTCACGGCTTTGAGTGCTTGGTTTCTTTTAAGCATGTACAAGTTTTACTGTTGCTCTGCTATTACGATGATTTAATTACTTGACACCTACTTAATCGGTGGAGACCTAATATTGTAGGTTCGGTTTCGTCCAGTTATACTGCGATTAATATGTCGTCGGGCTAGTCAGATCATGATACCTGATTACGGAGAATGAAACTATACATCTTTCAGTTAATTTAGGATTCTGAAGTTTTGCCACTTTACTGTATTAGATTTAGTGAGATTGGTTCCTTATGTTGCGAATGGACATGATTTTTGCATCTATAATTGATCTCATTACTTAATTCCATTTTGAATCCACCCCAAAGAGAAGCGTGGCGGACTGGACTCTATGATTCATAAATTTTTTGGGGAGAAATCTCTTTGAATGATGATTGAATCTCAATTCAGGAAGCTTTTCTGCTATAAAATTTTTAAATGGACATTTCATCTTGCGATAAACACACTGCTTACTGCATTGTAATTGAAGTGTCCTTTGTTCTTAAATTAGGTTGAACTATTCAAGCATCCTCACTTGTTGCTATTGCAAATACGAAATTCAATTTTCAAGCTCCCTGGCGGTCGCCTAAGGCCCAATGAATCAGGTAAATATGTGCAAGCAGCTGCATTTGTCTAATAGTTGTACTAACGGATATCTTACCGTGGTGGACGATCTCATTTTACAGATATTGATGGCCTGAAGCGAAAGTTGTCAAGGAAGCTTTCTGCCAATGGAACCTCTGATGCATCTGATTGGGAGGTATTACAGTGCTTCAATCTATTTCTTTCTAGTTTTCTACCATGTATGTACTTCTGATTTTGAATGATGGAATTCGAAATTTTCTTCTTTAATGTTTAGGTTGGTGAGTGTCTTGGTATGTGGTGGAGGCCTGACTTTGAAACCTTGCTCTATCCATATTTGTCCAGTAATGTAAAAGGGGCCAAGGTAGTTACTTAGATACAAGCTACTTCCTTTAAACTATGATTATGAGGCGATACATCATTACCAGTAACTCATTTGCTACCTGATGCAGGAATGCACTAAACTTTTCCTAGTCAAGTTGCCAGAGAGTCGAAAATTCATCGTCCCAAAGAACCTCAAGTTGATCGCAGTTCCTTTATGCCAACTTCACGAAAATCAGAAGGTATCCTAACCAAGACACTTTGTGGAAGTATAATTGGTGATATATATTTGAAGTTCTATCTTGCTTTCCTTTAAGGATCAAAAGAAAATACAGTTCAATTTCGTTGAGTCGTGTCAAAACATGGTGCATAATCCAACGACCTGTGAACTTATAGTCTTATCCACCATCTTTGACACAACTTTTCCTTCGCAAATTAATCCTGTCATCTTGCAGACATATGGACCAGTTATATCGGGTGTTCCGCAGCTACTTTCTAAGTTCTCCTTCAACATCATTGAAGCTTAGAATCATCCTATTAATTATAAAAGATGAAGAGCTATGGTCGGTGTGAGCAGATCAGCGAAAGGAATATTATAGCATTATAGAGCTGTCAGCTAACTTGGTATGAATGTTGACAGACCCCTGTATAAAACATGCATAGGAATTGATGGTGATGATTTTGTAAGTATAAGGATATATACTTATTTAGCCATATAGGTCTACATGGTTACTTTATAACATAAGCTTTGAATGAATGATACTACTACATGATTGTGTAAATTGCCGCAAATTCTCTCGACTTTCTTATGCTAAATTGCCAATGATCTGAACTTCGGCCATATGCTACGGGCCAATCTATTTCATTCTCCCATTACCATTAGTTGAGGAAATTGTGTATATATGGTAGTGAAGGTTCCTGTTTATGCGTTATGATGTGTCAAATATATATGTGAATTGTGATTGTGATTCTTATCCAAATAATATTTGTGGCCTTGGAAGCTTTATTGTGATTGTTGCTTGTTTCTGATAGTTTAGATATTCTTGATTTTAGCTCC